GAGGGAAATACTTTTAACTGATGGTATATGGAGGGGATTATAATCAATGTAATGAAACAAGTTATATGAATTGTTGAATGTGAAACTGATGATGTGCCTTGTAAACTTTCATCAATCTGTAATCAAAACCTTAAAAAAAATGAAGTTGTGGTTGCATTAAGTTTACTTAACTTGACTAGACATTAATGAAACACTAAAGGGAAAACTCAGCCTTTTAAAAAAGATAAAGAAAACTTTTTACGATATCAATCATTTAAAATTTCACAATCCATAGGGATCCCTGGAGATTAGGAATAGTGGTGTAGTGGTTATGAGTCGGGCTGTTCACCTCAAGGTCAGTAGTTAGAAACTACCAGTTGTTCCACGGGAAAAAGATGAGGCTTTTTGCTCCCATAAAGATTTACAGCCTCAGAAACCCTATATAGGGTCACTATGAGTTGGAACCGACTCCACGGCATACCACCATCGATATTAGTAAGGGAATCCCTTGGCAGTGCAAATGTTTACATTCCCCACATGTTAGAAATTCAAGTCCACCCAGAACTGTCTTGGAAGAAAGGCTTGGCAGTCTACGTCTAAAATATCGGCCAGTGAAAATCCTGTGTAGCATAATTCTACTAATACATGGAGTTGCTGTGAGTTGGAGTCAACTTGAAAGCAACTGCTAGTAGAACTGATACCATTAGAATGTGAGATGTTCTGGTGTGGCACTGTAGAATAAGGACTGGACTGCTAACCACAAGGCTGGAGTTTCAAACCCACCAGTGACTCCTTGGAAACCTAATACAACAGGGTCACTATGACTTAGAAGTAACTTGATGGCACTTAACGAAAACAACCACCACAGAATATGCAAGAGAAGGAATTATCATACACTAGAGAACATCTAAGGAGCCCTGGTTGGTGCCATGGTTAAGTGCTTTCTTAGCTGCAACCCAAAAGGTGGGTAACTTGATCCCACCAGTGGCTCCTTGAGAGAAGATATGGTGGTCCACTCATGTAAAAATTTAGTCAAAGAAACCTTAGGGGCAGTTCTACTCCAGTCAACAACAGGTATATTTTCTTTCCCTAAACGACTTCCAGATATTAGACTCATTTATTGTTTTTTCTTTTGTTGGGAGCGACTAAGCCGAAGGTCTCTGACTTGGGGGTAGTTTAACCAAAGGATTGCAAATGAACAGCTGTGGTCCAGAAACTTGGGCCGCACCCAAGTCTGGCTGCTCCTTGGGTTTTTGCAAAGCTGACCCTAGAAACAAGGAACTTGCAAAGTCTTTCCTTTTATACAGCCATGGCCTTTAGCTCAGTCTGCATAAACATTTAGCTGTATCTAATTTATGTTCCAGCTAGCTACCATAAATTACATTTTTTCTGATACAGTTCCACTTACTGCATGCACAAACAACACCAGGTGTTGTTTATGCTCTTTACCCATTTACTCCAACGCTGTCAATCACTGATTCTCAAACTTTTATGTGTTTCCAAATCACCCAGATGACTTGTAAAACCCTAATTGGTATCCTGCTTTCGAAATTTCTAATTCAATAGATCTAGATCGAGTCTTAAAAAATCTTTACTTCGAAGATCCTAGTTGATGCTGATGCTGCTGGCCCAAGGCAGCTCAGGGTCATCATCCAGCCTCCAGCCAAGTTATGCCACCCATTGGTTTCAATTAAATGCAGTAGAGGGGAGACCTCTCTTTATTTACATAAATTGTTTATAACGTGGTGCGTAATCTATTTTGGGCAGCAGTATAAAAGCTTAAAACAGGCTTACCAAATACTTGATAGTGATCACTTTCAACAGAAAAATGGGACAAAATAAAACAAACAAAAAAAGATACAAGGAAGTGTGAGCCAATATAATATAAAAACTATACATACAGCCTATTAATTTCAAACAGACTTTTATTATTAATGTGAATAAATGTTGTCAAATATATTTGAGAAACATAAAATAAAAGTCAGATGTCAGGAGTTGTCAGGAGTTGAAACAAAACCAGTGTTGGAATTTTATTATGGGAAAACAGAAAATCTTCAATGCATGACAAGTAAATTCATTGTTTCTTCCTCCATCTATGTTTGTCTGCATTCCAACTGGAGGATTAAGAAAACAAAAAAAGTAGTAGTTGTATGCCATAAACATATATATATGTTTATGTATTATTGGTATTATTATGTATTATTTCCTATGTTGAGAAATAAGAAATAATTAACCCTATCTATGTCTGTTGTCTAAATAGGAGAAAATCCAAACCCTTGGCTATCAGGGTACTCATGCACCCAAAAGCTTCAGTCACCTGATCACACCAGTCTCTCTCCCCTATTATTAAACGCTAGGGATTTTCATTCCTTTTTTTTTTTTTTTTAACTTTAGAGAACATTCTGGCATTAAAATAAGTCTTTCCACCTTAAAACCCTATCCTCTTTCCATAAATCATAATCTCAACCTCTCAGAATCATGTTACACATCTGTACAATGAAGATAAATAAAAAGAGAAAGAAAATAAATCAGGTATAAGATTTAATTACCAACTTAGTGATGACTAATAATCTTGCTATAACTAATTTTCTTTCAGGTGTCACATAAAATTAAAAAGAAAATTATAACTAAACAAATAGTTAGGTATCAATCACTGAATGTGATCCTACTTGAAATTCTTAACTTTTTACAACTTTGTAAGTAGATACATTCCCAAACACATTATCTCATGGTTAGAATAAGAAAGTATTTCTGTGACCAAAGTATGAAGACCCACATAGCTCACAATCCTGTGGCTCTAAGCACTTACCATAACTGTGCTGCTATAAACAAAGTTTGGCCTACATTACTAGGTCTGATAAATTTCCCATCTGTAGCAGTCTTATAACTTCAAGTTAATGGACATTTCAGAACATGCTGCATCCTAAACTATCTAGTTTAAAGAACATTATTAACATTAAACTGTTTTTTAAAACTGATTTTAAAAAGTAAATTGATTCATTGTTTTAGTTACCAAGAAAATTAAAAACATAACAGGTGTTTGTCAATAATGGTTAGGCAATGTTAAACACAGATACCTGAATTATCTGGGATTGCCTTCTGCAGAACCCATATCCTTTTTAGGTCTTCCTTCTCGTTCTTTGTTTTCTTCTTCTTCCTTCTCCTTATCTCCATATTCTTGGCATAGTTCATCAGAACTTTCAGAGCTATATTTAACTGCTCCATTCATAAAGACTAAAACGGATTTTGGGACCAGAAGTTCACGGAAAATATATGCCAATTTAAAATCAATGGTAACACCCAGTAATCTACCTTCAGGAGAATCAGAAGGATAGAAATAGGTAAAAAATGAATAGCTGGGCACCTTGCATGTGGTGGTTGACACACTTCCATTACCCTCAAATTTCGGCAGCTTGATTGTTTTCATGATCACATTTTTCCCCTCTTTCCAGTATATCTCACAACCTGAGCTTCTGATAATTTCTGGCCCGTTGGTGAAGAAGGGATCCGAATCATCTGGGTCTGATCGTATGCAGTATGTTTTTGTTAGAACTTCGTTAAAAAAATATTCATTTGGCTCAAAGAAAAATTTGATGGCAAAGGTCATTGGTTCTTCAACCTCAGAAAATTTAATTTTTATATCTTTTAAGTGCTTCAGTATCAGTTCATCTTTTTCTTGGATCAGTTTACGAAGGATCTTTACATTTTTTAAAGCTGTCAACCAAAAGTGAGGTATGCCACTTATTTGTAGTTTTCCCTCGGGTTCTCTTTTCATTTCTTCACCAACTCCAACTCCTTCCTGAGCACTTACTTCCCACTGGCACTCATCTTCTGTGGGCTCATAAATTGCATTGATGATATCAGATCTCTTATCAAACAGAGGCTGGAAAAAGGCAGCATACTTCATTTCAAGATTGTAAAGGTCTTTGTAAAACCCGGATTCTATTTGGGCATATTTTGCCTGAAGATTTTTAAGAGCATTGACCCGCTGCTTAACTACTTGAGCTAAGCTTTTATTGCCTTTTCCTAGTGGATTTTGCCTCTGCTTCCTAGCCTTGGCCCCCTTGGATGCACAGGCTCCCATCTCAGAGGATATGGCTGCTTTTGTCAGAACTCTGCCCTCCATGATCTTGGTCTTTGGTTTGGGTTCTTTGGCCTCCCAGAATTCAGCCCCTGCTACGGGTTCCTGGAATTGACCCAAATTCTGGTAGTCGTCTGATTCCAGGTATTCCTGGAGCTTTTGGAGTGCATCTTCCTCTGACAGCTTCTCACCCTCCCAGTGCATAGGCTCTTCCCATGGGTCTCCAGACTCCAAGGAACGGTGTTGCCTAACCTCGCCTTGGCCTGTGTGGTACCTGATCATGATATGGTTGTTACGATACAAACGGTGTAAAAGAGAACGGAACAGACCCCAGAGCAGAGACCTAAACCGTACCAGGGGATACTCAGCGGCGTCCTCATCATCTGCATCCTCCTGGGCATCCACTTCTTCCTCTTCATTTCCCCCCTCTTCTTCATTGTCATAGTCTTCTCGCTCCTTGTTTTCCTCTTCCTTCTTGAAGTTCTCCTTTTTCTTCTCTTCCACTTGATCCTCCTCATTACGGAGGGTGTCGCCTGTGTCGTCCTCTTCATTCTTATACTCCTGCTTATAGTTCTCTTTCCCATCTTCTGTCTGCTGGACAAGCTGGGTCTCCTCTTCTGGGCCGGCTGCCTCCTGTCCACATTGTTCCTCCCAAAGTTCTTCATCGGCCATGTAGGAAACTTGAGGGAAAGCCACCTCCGCAATTATGGCTTCCTCTTCTGCAGGCACTGTGTGGCTCATGTCAGGGTCGGGGTCACTGCCTGCTCCTTTGACAGCTCCTTCCTGGCTATCTAGGGACGGATCTGGCTCCGCCGTGGCAGCCATGGCACAAGTCAGTGCCTTAAATGAGGCAACAATCCGGCTATGCTGATGATAGCTTAAATGGCGGTTGCCAAGGTGGCTGTCACTAAGGGGAGGGTTTATAGCTCGTTCATGATGGTAGCTAACGAGGCAGCCAAAGAGGGTATAATAGTCTATGCCTGTGCCTGTGGAGGCCCTGCACTACAAAAAAAGCAGACGGTTGACTTGGGAATTGTCTTACCAAGACGGCGCCTAAAATGGCAGTGAACCAGGCAGGAAAGATTCTGTTTAACAGATGACGGGGGCGGAGCCACAAACGGTCAACAAAGGGTGACCCTCTGTTGGCTACGAGCTATAAACTCATTGGCTGAGAGGGAAGATTGACATGCTCTCCTTCCAATGAACCATTAGTTCCTAACATTCTAGAATTTGGGTCTCATCACTTTATTGTTATGCCCACTCAAGTTCTGTCCTTTTAATGTGAACTTTAAATTTAAATTCTGTTTTTTGGCAAAACTATAGTGTTTCAATATGGTCAGGCTTTGGGGGCTGAGTACTGTAATTTGTTCCCCAATTTCCACCGGGGCATACATAGTTCATATCAGTAGGGACAGAGTCATAAACAAAATTGTATAGCTCAGATCTCAGTGTATAAAAACATCCCAGAAGGAAAAGAGAGAAAACAGAACAGTTTTACAGTACTAAAGCTATCAAAGTTAAGGAGTCCTGGTGGTACAATTGTTAAGAGCTTGGTTGCTAACAGAAAGTTCGGCATTTTGAACACCGAAGTTCGAACCTATGATTTGCTCTGTGGGCCAAATACCTGGCCATCTGCTCCCACTCCTGTAAAGATTGTTGTTTGTCACGGAAACCCTACAGGGCAGCTCTACTCTGTTAAATAGGGTTGCTGTGAATGGCATCCACTCCACCACCTCAAACAGCAACAAAGCTATTTAGAAAAGAATGCATAAAAAACGAAATAGATGAAGTCCTAATGGATCATTGGAAAAATGTTAATAAGAAGAGCTAGAAGCTCTTGGGAGTCCTGGTATGGCGCTGTAAGATAAACACTAGATTGTTAACCACAAGGTCAGTGATTCAAACCCACGAGCTGCTCCTAGAAAACCCTATATAGGGTCGCTATGAGTCATCACTGACTAGATAGCACTTAACAACAACAAAGCTCTTAGATAAAAATTCAGTCAAATTCACTTCAAGCCTCCAAAGAATAAATAAAGCAAACTGAGATACTTTCTTTAAAGGCAAACATAAGAGAAATTATAAGGGCTAGCTTTCTAGGATAATTTTTCCACTCAAGCATCTAAGACTTTTTGTTTTGTTCAACACCACTTTGCCAGAAAATATTGTAAATTAAAAAATGTATACATGGAGAAATCAACAAGTATTTTATATTTGTTCTGAAAAGAAAAATGTCTTATAAATTTGAATATAGTTTTTTCTAAAAAAAGATGCAAATGACTTAATAAATACTACATTTAAGAAAATAACATTAACAAATCCTTTGGTGACTCTGGTGTGGTGCTATAGGATAAACACTGGACTGCTAACTGCAGCATTGGAAGTTCAAGCCCACCAGCTGCTCCTTGGAAACCCTATACAGGGCTACTATGAGCAGTAAGGAACTCATAGTCATCTAATAACAATAAATCCTTGCATTACCTCTAACCAAATTTCAATTTTTAAAATTGTCTCTTGTCCATCCTCCTTCAGAAAGGAGAATGACATTGTCCTTAATCACTGATTTGAAACTTCAAGAGACTATAGGAAACAGCTTACTCAAGCTTCTTTAGAATATAGTAAAACTGAGGCCAAATCTAAATATGGGGTCTGGAGTTGGTTTTATACTTGCTTTCTGATGTGAGCTTGGTTAATCCCTAATTTCTTGTCCCCACTTTTATCACCTGTCAAGTTAGGGTGATGATTCCTTAAGTTACCTCACAAGCCTGTTCTAATATGAGTGAAAGACCTTTTCATAGTGTGAAATACTATGCAAGAATAAAGTTTTATTTCATGTCTTACCTATTTAGTGCTTTTAAAACAGAGCCACCACAAGTGGGTGGCATTAATAAACAGACATTTTTATTCTCACAGCTTGTTGTTTTTGTTGTGTGCTGTCAAGTCTACTCTTATACATAGCAACCTTGTAGGACAAAGTAGAGCTTTCCTGTAAGGTTTCCTAGCCTGTAATCATTCAGGGAGCAGATAGCTAAATCTTTGTTGTTGTTGGTTGTATGTCATGGAGTCGGTTCTGAGGCTGTAAATCTTTATGGGAGCAGAAAGTCTCATCTTTTTCCCGCGGAACAGCTAATAGTTTTGAACTGCTGGCCCTGAGGTTAACAGTCTGATTCGTAACCACTACGCTACCAGAGCTAAATCTTTACTCCTACAAAAGTCTTTTGTGACCTTTTGGTTAGCAGCTGAGCTCTTAACTACTTTGCCACCGGCATTTCTTTCTCTTAGTTTAGGAGGCTAGAAGTCTGAATTCAAGGGAAGGATTTTTTCTCTCTATTGGTTGTGGAGGAAGTTCTTTTTCTCTTTACAGCTACAGTTGTTTGGTTCCTTGGTGATAATCATGTGGAATGGGATCTTTCTTCTCCCACCTATTCTTCTTTGCTTCTGTGCCTAATTATCTGCTGCTTTTATTTGTCAAAAGTGACTGGTTTAAGACACATCCTACAATGAAAAAGAAAACCATATTCCCAAGTGGGGCTACATCCACAGGTTTAGGTGTTAGAATTTATGACACACATTTTTTTGTAGACACAATTTCATCCATAACATTATGTCAACAATAAATTTATCCCATTCTTGAAATTTTGGAGAGAAGTTATTGATAAACATTCAGAGTGAACCCTCTAATTTGGGGAACTCAGTTTTAACAGGTACATAGGATATGAACACTTCTTCCCTGGCAGACTGGACTAGAGTTTAATCCTTTACTTTCTGCCTTAAGTCAAGTTTGAGAGAGAACACAGTGTGTGATAGGATTGTATCCACTAACCATTTGCTGAAACCTTTTTTGGTAGGTTGCATCTTTCATTATAAACTAGTCAGGGAATCTATAAGTTTTTAATTTTTTTCGTTGCTGAGAGGGCAATAAACACATATTTTTCAGTGATTTCTTTCCTTTTAAACTTCCAAATTTTATACCATATTTTCTTTGTGTTTGGAAGCCATCTATTTTTTACATTAAACTACTTATTCTATATAAAATTAATTTTGGTATATGGTTTTAGATTAAAATTTCAGTTGGATTTTGTTTTATTTCCTACTCTGTTTTCCTGATGTATGACTACCCGCTTAGTCAAATTCATACATTGCAAATCTACAAGTGTCCAGCATTTGGGAACTTAGCACCTATATTCACATCTTTAAATCATAACCCACTTTCAAATGAAGGTCAAAGTGAAGCCATTCTTCCAACTATTAAGATTCAACTATGCCATGTACAACTGAAAACATGCTTAGCCTCTTCACAAAAGAGAATACAGCATTTCTTTATCCAACTTCTATGACATTCATTCTTCTTCTGAATCCACTTGGATATCTTGTAACTTATATTTTGGAATTTAAAATGGACTGTTTGACTTCTTCTGAATGTAGGAAGAACAGGAAGGTGAAAGAATAAAATGTTAATATATACAATTCAGGAGAAAATAAAGTAGAAATATGCACAGCTATTATCAGGCTGTGAACCTTAAAGTCAGCAGTTCAAAACTACCAGCCGCTCTGCGGGAGAAAGATGAGGCTTTCTACTCCCGTAAAGATTTACACCCTCGGAAACCCTGTACAGGGTCGCTATGGGTCGGAAC